AATCAGGCAAAGGATTGGATCATGGAACAAGAAACTACTGACACAGGCAGGAAAGGAGGTACTATTGAAAAGTGTGGCTCAGGCAATGCCTACCTTTTCTATGTGTGTCTTTCTATTACCCAGTTCTTTCTATTACCCAGTTCTACCCGTACAGCTATTGAGAGAACAATGAACCGCTACTGTTGGGGTTCAGGCACAGACCAGGGAATACACTGGAAAGCATGGGATAAGTTATGCATCCCAAGAAATATGGAGGTCTGTGTTTTAAGGCTCTGAGAGCATTTAATTTGGCAATGTTGGGTAAACAGGCATGGAGGTTGCTTACTGAGCCTGACTCATTAGTGGCTCGTGTATATAAAGCCAGATATTATCCTAAGGAGTCTTTTTACGAGGCAGGCATGGGGAATAATCCTAGCTATTGTTGGCGCAGTATTATGGCAGCAAAGGAGCTAGTTTGTGGTGGGGTAAGGCGACGAATTGGGAATGGAAACACTACCTTAGTATGGGAGCACCCCTGGCTACAGGGTGATTTAGACCCAATGATCCAAACTGAAATGCCACCACAGTTAGCTGGAACTAGAGTCGTGGGTCTCCTGGATCCAAGTACTGGTACATGGGACCAACACCTGCTCACTGATATTTTTCTACCAGATAGTATCCCAAAAATCCTCAAGATCCTAGTATCCCCAAGTTATGATGATGTATGGTATTGGCACGGGGATCCTAATGGTCGTTACTCCGTCAAAGACGGCTATCGACGCATAGTTGGAGACTATCCTAATGCTAATAATGGGGTTTTTGATGGATGGTTAGCCTTATGGAAAATCAAAGCACCCCCAAATGGAAAAAATTTCTATGGAGAGCTCTAAGTGATATCCTCCCCACTAAGAGCAATTTGATTATAAAGAGAGTAGAAGTGGACCCGATGTGTGCCATGTGTGGGATTGCTCATGAAAATATTTAGCATTCATTAGTATCGTGTGATTATGCAAGATCTATTTGGAGCCAATCTAGCCTCCCACTCCCCAACATTGTGACAAATATTTTCCATGAATGGTTTAGTGCACTCTTAAATGTTCTAGACACTAATGGAATATTGTATGCAACTTCTATTTTATATCATATATGGAGAGCAAGAAACAGAGCTGTTTGGGATGCCTGTCTACCGTTGCCAAAGAAGGTGCTTGTGGCAGCTATGACCACTATGCAAGCGTGGAACACGCTACACCATCGCACGCCCACACCAGCCGCAAGGGACCATCACACGGGCGATGGAGCCGGTCACGCCGCACAGCAGGTTGGCCTCCAGTCGGTGGTCTCCGTTGTGGCCGAAGGCATGCATCAACCGCCGCTGCCACGATCCAGCCACCCCGTGGAAACATCAAGACCCAGGAGATGCTACATGGATGCAAGCTATCACCAGGATACCAGCTCAGCAGCGGTGGGGGCGGTACTACTAGGTGCCGACAATCACTATGTCTCGGCTTTCAGCGTCCCACTACTGAATTGTTTTTCCCTACTCATAGCTGAGGTATACGCGTGTAAAGAGGTTTTATCATGGTTAAGAGGACGTGGCGAAGATTCAATACGACTACATACTGACTGCTAGACGCTACAACGCTACCTATGCGCACCGAATACCCCGTCCAGGTCATATGTTGGATATGCTATCGATAGTTGCAGGAATTTTATGTCTACTTTAAGTTTTTGCTCAGTCAATTTTGTTCCTAGACTACATAATTTATTAGCACATACTTTAGCTTTAAATTCGACTACAGCTATGTACTGGGACGATGTCCCACTAGACTCTATTTCAGTTTATCTATAAATACAACCACATTGGTTGACCTTCAAAAAAAAAAAAAAAAAAACACTCCGCTGTAATTAATTTAAGAGTTTTGTTTAGACTTTATTTGTCACAGCTCTCACAAGGACATTGTTAACGAGTCTAAAATGTCTTATTTAATCTCTATCTCTCCTCTATACATATAAAAATGAGTTTTTTACACTTTTAGTCCCACGACTATGGTGTCATTAACAATTTTGATCTACGATTTTTAGAACTTGTAGAGTTGTAGAACTGGTCCATGACTATGAATTTCTTAGCAAATTTGGTCCTTCCGGTGCATTTTCCGTTTAATTTTTGCCGGAAAATTTTACTCCTAATTTTAACATGGGTATTGTTATCTTTTCCATCTCACAAACTATATAAATAAATAAAAATAAATAAATAAATAAATAATTAAACACAGCCAGTGGTACGGTGAAATTGAAAGTGGAATTAGAATTTTTAATTAGAGAAAATTTCAATTTTGGTCCACTGACTATTGGAGTTGTGTTAATTGCAACACTTGACTTTCAAAAATATTAATTTAGTACCTTAACTATGCAATTCTTATCAATTTTGGTCACGCCAGCCAAATTACCAGCCAAATGTGACCGAAAAATCTTAACTCATTAAATAAAAAGGGCAAAAGCGTCATTTCATATTTTTTTTGTGCCGGTATAGCTTCCCACGCGGTTGTGCGCTTGACGCACCTTAAGCATTAAATGGTGCCCCTTAAGTTCACAAACCACGCACCTTAAGCACACAAACAAAGCATCTTAAGAACACAAACCACGCGCACCTAAAGCTTTAGGCCGATGCACCTTAATTACACAAACCACGCACCTTAAGAACGCAAGTCACGCACCTAATATTTTAAAATGCCGCACCTTAAGTTTCAACAACTCATGCACGTTAAACATACAAATCACGCATTTTAAGAAGGAAAATAACGCAACTTAAGAAGGAAAACCACGCACCTTAAGCACAAAAGCCACGCACCAAGCACAAAAATCACGTACCCAAAGGAAAACCACGCACCTTATCAATTTTGGTCACGCCGGCCAAATTACCAGCCAAATGTGACCGAAAAATCTTAACTCATTAAATAAAAAGGGCAAAAGCGTCATTTCATATTTTTTTTGTGCCGGTATAGCTTCCCGCGCGGTTGTGCGCTTGACGCACCTTAAGCATTAAATGGTGCCCCTTAAGTTCACAAGCCACGCACCTTAAGCACACAAACAAAGCATCTTAAGAACACAAACCACGCGCACCTAAAGCTTTAGGCCGATGCACCTTAATTACACAAACCACGCACCTTAAGAACGCAAGTCACGCACCTAATATTTTAAAATGCCGCACCTTAAGTTTCAACAACTCATGCACGTTAAACATACAAATCACGCATTTTAAGAAGGAAAATAACGCAACTTAAGAAGGAAAACCACGCACCTTAAGCACAAAAGCCACGCACCAAGCACAAAAATCACGTACCCAAAGGAAAACCACGCACCTTAAATTTGACAGGCAAATATTATCAAATTGCCATAGCGTTTTTTTTGTTAATCTTAAACATTGATTTAGACAATCAATTACTCAGATTTAACCGCACAACCGTACGGGACACACCCAACCGCATGAGAATTGAATTATATATATATATATATATATATATATATATATATATATATATATATATATATATATATATATCCAAGCCACGGTGGTGGTGTGGGTGGTGATGACCACATAAGATCGCCCTCAAGAATTTTGTCCATTGGTCGTATGTGTTTAAAGGCACTCAAAAATCAAAATCCTTGAAGCGACAAAGAAATCCTGTCATTATTCGTCGGCAATATATATATATATATATATATATATATATATATATATATATATATATATGGCGATACACTGTCTAGAAGTTTTCCGCAGGCTGCTGGCTAGGAGCTTGTTGGTCAAATGATTACACACCATGATAGCTACTGCAACAAACATAGAAATCATGGCATTATTTTATCTAGGAAAATATTGAATTGGCAGCACTTATTTGAAGCAATCACATGTTGACATATTTTTATTGTTGATTCAATAGCTTGATGCAATTGTCATATATACAACATGGTTTATATTGTTTTGTGAATCTTAATTTAAAAATTATGTATTTTCAGTTAACATATTATGTATTTATATTTAATAATTTTAGTATTTGTAAACAAATTGAGAGCACATAACATCATAATTACATACACGACGCAAAAAATGATAACTACCGGCACAAGTTGCTTACTACAGGTATAGAATATGTTAACTTCAGACACATAAGATGTTGGTTAACATGGTATGTGTTTGCAGTTAACATATTGTGTACTGTGTCTGTAGTTATCATGTTATGTGTCTGTAATTACTATGCGATGTACCTTCAATTTGTTTACAAGTATAAAAACAATTAACTACAAGTACATAATGCGTCAACTACATATACAGAATTTAAAAGTTATTTTTGGACCAAGGTCCATAATATAAAATAGACCCTAATTCATAATATAATTTGTCAGCTTGTTGACCATGGACCGCACCTCATAGTCATAACTTTTTATCAAATTATATCAAAATTTAAATAACGCTCATTTTTTGTAATTGAGCTAAGTTGAAATTAAATTATCAAGAAAACTGACAAAAAAAATTGAAGGCTAGTTTGTATCTTTACTTACTATAACCTAGGTGACTGTGTTTTACGGATCGTTCATGATAGTCACTATTCTTGTGGATATACTCTCAATTCAGTCTATCATATAGAATATTTACTTAGTAGTTAGTACACTCAATCAGATTGTAACCACATATTTAGAGTAAAAAAAAATGTAAAACTAGTTTTGGCAATGAGGCATGCATATATATTATATGTATAGGGGTCATCCCTTTTATGTTTTTTAATATATTATATATGTATAAGGGTCATCTCTTTTATGTTTTTTAATCATGATTAAATTTCTTAAAATATAATGTCTTCACCAAATCTCCATCTTTACAGCATATAATCTCATGTAATTGGACACAACAAACAGATAAATGAAGCAGTTGATCAATTCATAAATTCTTGTATCCAAACCAAGCATGCGCTTATATTAGCTTCAGTTGTGGAGTAACTTTCTGGGTTCGTTCTATCTATGTCATGGATCACAAAGCCAATAATCCCTCTAGCTCGCATTGTAACTATTTTCAGGGAGTTCTTGACTACATAAACCAAATGCTTATGGAAGACGATGATTTGGAGAACGGGCGTTTTGTATATCCAGACTTGTTGGCTCTCCAGGCCGCTGAAAAATCTCTGGGTGATGTTCTTAACGCTCAAGAATCAAGTGGCAATGATGCCGGCCGGCGAGGGGACAAGAGACACCGTTGTGGAGAAGACATTAATGGTGTGGAAGCCGGGAGAAGAAGAAGAAGCAACAATAATAATGTAGCGAGAGATGAAGAGCAAGTGCAGATAGATATGTATAATGGCATCAATGGGCTGTGTTATTGCAGCGAATTGGGAGCATCAGCAAAGCGCGTGTTCAGGCGAGAGCGCCGGCGAGACGAGGGAGGCCGCGCGGCGGCGAGCGGGGAGGAGGCAATGTAAAGGAGGAGGTGGATTTGGCGGGGCTTTTAAACCTGTGTGCACAAGCCGTGTGGGGCGAGGATTTCAGGACGGTGAATGAACTCCTGGGCAGAATCCGACGACACTGCTCCCTTCACGGCGGCGCCGCCGAGAGGCTGTCGCATTATTTCGCTAAAGCCCTCGACGCGCGCTTGGCCGGCACCGGGGCAGCGCTATACACTGCGAACAGAGGTTCCCTTGCAGATACACTGAAAGCCTATCAGATGTACTTCACCGCTTGCCCTTTCAAGAAACTGTCCAACATGTTCGCCGACAAGTCAATCGGGAAATTGACGATGGGGGCAACCAAGATTCACATAATTGACTTTGGTATATCGCATGGCTTTCAATGGCCGTGTTTGATTCAGGGTCTCTCTCGGCGGCCCGGCGGACCTCCGGCGCTTCGTATCACCGGAATAGATCTTCCTGAACCGGCCGACAGACTTGAGGCTACAGGGCGTCATCTATCCTACTATTCCAAGAAATTCAATGTCCCTTTCCAATACACCTCCGTGAGGAAGAAGAAATGGGAAACTATCTGTTCTGAGGATGTTAGGATTGAGAGGGATGAAGTGTTGGTGGTGAACTGTCTGTACAGGCTACAAGACGTTCCAGACGAGACAACGGCCCTTTTTGGTAAAATGCTAAAATTAAAAAACCATAACTTTTTCAATTAACTTTTTGAGAAAAGAAATTATACCAAACAATTATCAACTAATAAATGATTTACCAAACACTTTTTTTACAGCTAATGTTATCAACTAGTTATACCTTTTAATTAATTCAATCAGCTAACAGCTAGCTAACAGACATTTACCAAACAGGGTCAACATTGGAGGACAGTCCGAGGGACACAATCCTTAAGTTCATCAAACAACTAAATCCCCACGTTTTCGTGCACGGAGTTGTGAGTGCATCGTACAACGCCCTTGTATTCTCCACCCGCTTTCGTGAGGCAATCTTCCATTTCTCGTCCCTGTTCGACATGTTGGAGGGGACGGTTCCTGGGGGAGATGAAGGGAGAGTGGTGTTCGAGAGAGAGATTCTTGGACGGGAAATTATGAACGTGGTGGCCTGCGAAGGGGCAGACAGGATGAAGCGGCCGGAGACGTACAAGCAGTGGCAAGAAAGGAGTCAGAGAGGTGGGTTTGAGCAGATGTGGCCGGATGGGGATATCATGAGACAGGTGAGGGCTAAAGTGAAGGATTACAGCAATGATTTCTTCGTGGAAGAAGATGGAAAGTGGATGTTGCAGGGATGGAAGGGTCGAGTTATCTATGCAATCTCGTGTTGGAAGCCTGAATGTCATCAATGACTCACTAATATATACACAAGTTAGACAACGACAACAACCTCTTAAAGTTTTGCAGCATGCACTAGTTATTGTCTTTCAGGAATGGTTTTTCTGGATGTATATGTAAGCAAATAAGTCAGTACTATACGCACATAATTACGTGACAAACAATAATTATAATGTTTCAGTTGATGAAGGTTTAATGATCTATTGTAGATAGTTATTATAGAATCAAGGTGAATACCTTTGTGATTTCGATCACTTCTGCTCAACTCTCTAAATAGTATATGAAGAATTAAAGTGAGCAGTGACAAGACTGGTACCTTAAATAGCCGCATGTCATCAATGTGATACTTGTATGTCTTCCTATCAATTGTTATACGGTGGACAATGGTCCGGAAACGACGTCGTTTCTTTAAGTAAAGAAACGGCGGCCGTTATATTTAACAAATTCTGTATTTCTGATGTGTTCAGAACAAAATGAAACTAAAGTGTATCTAAAATGAAACTGAATAACTTGTCTCACATATTGTGTTTATATTATCAAATGAAAGTGTAATTGAATTGAAATGATACTGTTGGTTTCTAGACTTTTGGAGAGCCTACCGGGGGTCCAACACAACTGGGAAAGATGGTGGATCGTCGAAAAATATGAAAGATACTGTAATATATCATCGGAAAGTAGTGTGTATAATTAGAAGAGCATGGACCTTTGTACAATGCCTTGAGAGGCTATATATAGGGGGCCGGGTGAGAGCAGGACTCGGACTTAACGGAATACAATCAATGACTAATTATGAGTATTAAATGCCTTTAATAACGCACTAATTATCTTCTCCCACGACCTTGCCTCCAACGTTCCTTTAATCCCTCACATTTAAAGCATTGAATGATCTTCAACGGTCTCCTGAGGACTCTCCTTTTTTAACTACTCGTCACCGACTCCCAACTTCACTCGGTCTCGGATGTCTCTCCATCCGAGTCGTCAGGATGACTCGACCTATTTTCTTCTTTTCCGGCTGTTGGTTTTACGACATTTGGATGCCGCTCGGCGGGCCAACACTATCATAAAATACTTAAAAAGGGTTTGTATGAATGAAGATTAGAGTAATGCAGAGAATAATGTGATGTTATTATTCTAGAGTTTCGGCCGCTCGAGTGCCAGAGATTCGAGAGAGCGAGAGAAATTTACATGATGATCACAGGGGGATATTTATACTAAGGTACAAGATTCCTAAAGGAAAGTAGGGCTGACTTAGAGCCAATTCAGTTAAGGAATCCGGCCTACTTCATACTATAACTGTTTAAGCTAATAAATGAAGCTACTTAAATAAATGAAGGAGATCTCCGTAAAATCTGCCTGTAACCACCTCTTGGCGTGCATCCAGTCGGGGATGCCCTGATTGCTAAGGAGATACTTTGAGGGGCCGCGGTACTCGAGCGAGGACACTCTGACCGCGGGACCTGGTCGCCCGATTGAGTTCTTGAGTGGTACCTGGTCAAGGACACACCGCCCACGGAGCCTGGTCGCCCATCCGAATCCTGTAGGGCATTCGGTCGGGGACACGCCAACTGTCGTGGCTGGTCGGCCAACCGCGTATCATATATGCGCCCAACCGAGGACATACTGGCTACCGGATCTGGTTGCTTTACCCAAGCCGGCCGATCTTCGTTTGGGTAGGCGCCTGCTCTTATGGATTGCTGGTTGCTGAAGATGGATGGCTGCGGTTTTCAAGCGCCTTACATGGCGCGCGGGAATAATGAGTGTCGTCCATTTGCTAAGTATCAGGCCGTGCTCGAATCTGACTGCCTAGCCGGGCACTCCCGCCCGGTCATCCGATTTTGGGTATCTATCACCGGCGATGACCATCGTCACCAGTTGACCGGCCAGCGCCATCCGATCCTCAGGGCTCATATTACATCATCTAGTCCCTCACTTTTTAGTACTTAGCGTAGCGCTAGTATTGGAAAGTATCCGTGTAACACCCCTAATTTTTAAAGCGATTAAAAGCTTATATAAATAACGCAACCTACCATTAATCATCCCAAACAGAGCATAAACATAAACATAAATGTCGGGGTGCTATGCCACATCTAGACTAACTGAACAAGGCATAAACTATAGTTAATAATCGTTACACAATTCAAGGCTCACAGGCCGTCTAACTACCACTAAGCTAAATCCACGGACCGCCTAACGCGCTCCTTAGCTAAGACCGTCACCTGGAAAACATATCGTAGCAACCGTCAGCGAATAATGCTAAGTAACCCACTCCCATGCGTTAAGTACAATAAATATAAATATAGGAAATCATTTTGAAACTGAAATACATATATAGTCTTAGGCAACACTAGCTTTTAAATCAGGATCAGGACTCAGAATATAACCACGGACCAACATTACGAATACCACTAACATGCTCCCTACGTTTGTAAGATATAATAAACAGGCAAGCACATAAACAACAATTAAAGGCAAGTAACGGGACTCAATAATCGTCAATTAGCAAATAATCATCAGAACACACAATTCATCCTCCAACCTTATACTAAGTTCCAACCTTTACTCCTCTCCATCCTTATATCAGTTCCAACCTATACCTCCAGGCCACCCTTATATCGCCCCCCTTATTCCTCCGGAGCAACTACATGCCCCACTCCGTAACCACCAACAAGTCCACCAACATGGTAGCACCGAAGTGTCATTCGCATGGTCCGTGCCTCTAGCACCAATACCAAGGGGTCAGCGCATATAGTTTTAACATGACACCGTGGCGCTTATACCCTTACCCAAGCCTTTAGCCAGCAAGTCTAAGGGGTGGTCCGTGCCTTTAGCACGATAACCGGGCACTCGTTGTGCTTTCTGCCAAAAATTCATTTCCACCAATCACAATCTCATTCCCATCAGTCACATCAATCATTGCGTAAAGATCACCACACTCATCATCATTCAATCAATCAAGCGGGTGCCCCTATTCTAGCGAGTGCCCGGCGGGCAAGCGTCTGGCCGCCGACTGCCCGCTGGAAACGGGCAAGCCTCGGCAGCGGGTAGGTGGTGGGGATTTGTCCCCCCACCTACCCCCCACTGGTACTAAGGTAGAAATCCGGTTCGGGGTTCGTTCGTGGAACTCAAAACCATATCCAAACACATTCTAACACGTAACAACAACATCATGGAGTCAATTAACGGAGATTAAACCAAGAATCATTCCAATTACGTTCTAACACGATTCCCAAACATACCAGGACTCGACATCAATCACATAACGGTTCAGGAACATCTGGAACCTCATGAACATCAAGAAATCTATATGCAAAGCCCTAAAGACGAATCCTAGGCTAGACTCAACACCCGATCATGCATAAACCCACCCAAGAATACCAAGAATATCACAACAACGAGATTCACGATATAAACCCTAGGGACAAGCTCTAGACGTAATTAAATACAAGATTACATATATAATCAATCACAACATCAAGATCACCAAGATTATCAAATAAACACAATATAAATCCTAGGCAAGGCTCTATCAAGACTCAATCACAGAATCATCCATACAATTATCAAAGGAGCCAATAAATAAGATATAGCAAGGAAAATAAGTTTTGTAAGACATGGGTTACCTCTTAGCCCTAATCAATTTCCCTTGGCTACTAAGGTTCTTCCCTAAGATTCTTCTCCCAATTGATCTTCCTAAGCTTGCTGGTGAGGGATTTCCTTGGCTGGATTTCCTGAGAGTATTTTCGAGTAAGAAGGAGGTGAGGAAGGGTTCTATCTGCTTCCTAATCTTCTATTTATATGTTTAAGGGAAACCTATTCAGAGTCTGAATAATAAGGCCCACTTTCCTTATTCCCTACGGGCTTAAGGTTTCTAGTTCAGGCAAAGGTCAACGATCCATCGAGGACCGCATAGATTAATTAAGAGAATCATAATTGAATTAAATCCTTCTTAATTACTTTAATTAATGGAATTAGTTTAATAATTAATTCGGGTTTGAAGGTCGTAACACGGGGTGTTACAATCCGACTAAACCTTCTCGTCTCTACCTGCTCGGGTTTGCCGACTTCGTGGTTCGCTCTTCCTTAGTTCTCCGATTTGGATAAGTTTTGTCATGTCTCATCAACAATTAAGGCCTAAATCTATAACGTAATCTCCGCCCCTATCAATCACGTCCATTAAGCCTGGTTACTCAGTAGTGAACAGCTCTGACACAACTCTGCCCCCATTAACTCGGAGGATAACCCTTGATACATCGCATTTATTCCTCCAGCTCCATTTCGACCTATAAATAGAGCCTTTTGCTCTTTGAACTTCCCCGTACCTCTCTTTCTTTTGTGTTTTCATTTTGCAAGTATTATGGGTCGTCCGGCGATGGGTATTAAGAAGATTAAGAAGGACCCCTCCAAGCGTTTATCCAAGTAAGCGAAGCAGGAAATGCTGAAAGCCCGCAAGGTGGCCCAGGCTGATCATGGGGCCGGAGGCCCGTCGACATACCCACTGTCGTTTTCCCCGGAGGAAAACGAGGTTGCCCCGGTGAATGAGGAGGCCGTCCTAGTGGAAACTGAGGTCGCCCCGGTGGAAGATGAGGCTGTCCCGGTGGAAATCATGGTGACGATCACCATCCTAGTAGGGGATCCATATGAGCCAATGCCAGATCCTGACTACCTACGCTTCTTAGACGAGATGTATGAGATGATAGAGCGCAACTCTCCATCTGAGGTTTCCCCCGCCGTGGCGGGCTTTTGGGATGAAATGCACTTTTCACCCCTGCTGATGAGCCCGGTCAACCTCAGGATGCCTCGACTAAAGGCGACCAGCGTATGACTTCCCCGAAGAAGTAGTAGAATGATGATGCCCTTTTTGTCTAGTAGGAAATATAATATGCCATAAATAATGCATTCCCCTTTCCCCCCTAATGATAAGAAATGAATGCTCTATCCTTTTCTGATCTAGACTCCATGTTTTTCTCCTATTACCTCTCAGCAAGAAACTCGATCGATTAAACGCCGACTCCCT